TCATGGAAATGGAACATTTGAAAATTAAGTATCTTAAAAAAAATATGAGCTACTTGAGCAAACTCAACGACATTTGAAAGCGCAAGGATTGTATTTTAAGATGCTGTTTGTAGTTTTTTGTAAACAAAGAATATAGAGATGTTACATAACCTCAAATATAGGCTAAAACGTCGATTTTTGGACTTTTAAGTTAGGATATCTCAAAAACCTGACGTGCTAGAGCAATTCTGTGCTTCTTCATTCAATTCTTAGCTTAATCCCTTCTATAAAAATTGATGTAAAGTCATTTTATTCGTGATCTGATTGGCTGAGAGAGATCACGTGAGGATGTGACAGCCCATTTGTCTTTTTAATAGTGTATAGTGTATAGTAACCGTGATCTAGAGTTACTGGTAGAAAAGACCGTGTCTTGCTTCGCTTAACATCTTTTGCAATCATTGCAATCGCATTGTTTGAATTTATTTCAAGATAGATTTGGTAAGTATAATTAACAAATGTAAATTTTGATAAAAATATTTGATAGTATTTAAGAAAACTATATTTATTTAAGAAAAGTATGGTTATTGTGAGCTAGGTTATGTTCAATATCGGTTTTAGTTTCGTATCTAATTAATTATATATTGTTGTCGCTTTTAGTTTCGCATCTAATCAACTATTATAATATTGTTAATAATTCACGTTGACGACTAAATTGTAATGTTTTTTTAGGAAATGATGGATGTTGAAAATCAGGAGAATCAGGCACCTTTCACTCCTGATGAAAATTTTGACTACTTAACTGACAAAGATGAACTCACGTAAGATATTTTTTTAATTTAATAATATAAAATATTTTTTTGTTTCATATATCATCTTAAAAAAATTGTTAATTTTCTAGAGAGATGAAAGGTTACGTTGATGAGGTGCATGCACCTACCGTTGTTGGAAAAACTAACAAATTTGATCTTTTCAAATTTGTTATGAATAATGGGGGAAACAAAAGAATTGTTGTTCTCATTTGGGGCCAGAGCTTGATAACAAAATATGTAGAAAACATTACTATTGGCAAGGTGCGTTGAATTTACCTGTTTGATATATTTTTTTACATTATTTAGAAAATATATATCATTATCTATAACATGATATGATTATATATTATGTAGATTTTGAATATCGAGAAAGCCTACACGAAAGCTACAACTTACTACAAGCAAAACAGCAACGTTGTTCCATTTGAACTCATCATCAAGGATATAACGAATATTGAATTTCATGGGGATTACAACAATACTAATCCTATTGACCAAGAGAAAGTAGCTGTATGTACATTTGAAAATCTGAGAAAGGCGTCAGGATTAATCCGTAAGTTTGTCTTTCGCTTGCATAATTTTTTAAATTCAATTTGATTGAAATATTTACAATTTATATTTATTTACAAATTTTTGATTTTTCAAATTCAATTTGAGTTTGTCTTTCGCTTGCATGATTTTTTCACTTCAATTTGATTGAAATATTTACAATTTATATATTTACAGTTTTTTAATTTTATATATTATAAAATTTATTTTATATTTACAATTTTTTTATATTTACAATATATAATTTTATACATTTACAATGTTCACAGGCCTCGAAGGCAATCTTAAAACAGAATTTTTTAAAACTGAAAATCAGTTCAAGAGGGAGACATATGGGCTTGGCTGCATTACCGATGGAAAGTACAAAGTGAACATTCATGTGAGAAATTACACTGAGCTTGAGATTCAAAAAGGAAAACGCATCAAAGTCATTGGAGAAGTAGATTCATCTGGTACGTTGGTTTTATAATATTAAAAATGGTTACCCTTATCATAAAACATTTCCTATTTGCACAATTGTGAAAAGAAGGTATCTTATTTTATTGTATACATTTCAGCTCAAGGAGCAGTGTTAGTCATCATTTGCAGAGATTCAAACTCCATTGAAGAAGTTGCAGGCAAAGAAACTATGTCTGCAGCACAATTAGCCGCAGGAATACGGACTCCTAAACGGGAACGAGAGTAATTTTATTTATTGAAGTTTATTGCAGTTCTTGGAATTAATCTTCACTTTTCTTAATAGATGTTCTAAATGAGACTTGGAAAGTTTTTATTTTAGTATTTAACAATTAAGTTCACTTGTTTATTTGCTTTCTTTAAATCGTTCATTTATTTTCACGTTTTGCATAAGAAAAACTGCATTTGTAAATTCTTAACAATCAATAACAATCGAAACATTTCGATTTGCATGAGTATTATTAAATAATATGATGAGACTTCGTAAAAAAAGTATTAATGACAATATAATGAGACTTAGAACAAAAAATATTAATGACAACTGATAGCTTTAGGACGCTACTATTTCAATAATTCTATTATAGATTTAGTTTAATTATAATTGAATATTTAAAAAAAATTGTGATTAATGTAAATCAACATAAATATCTCTATGCTATAAATTTTAATAATTGTTTGAGCCAAATACTTGATATTTATTGATGAGTAATAAAATTACTATATGCTGTAAAAATGTAAATTGATAATAATGTAACAAAGTTTAATTTAAAATATTTTGTAACTAGCACATACTCTGTAAAAACTTTTAAACGTTTAACTATTATTATACCCTGTCCTTATAATGTAATGTAATGCAAGATTTTATCATAAGTGCTACTTCTATTTACATCTAAGTTGTAAAAATGCATTTTATGTCTATGTCATATTATATAAATATATAATACTCTACAGTTATACTACTAGCACATACTCTGTAAAAACTTTTAAACGTTTAACTATTATTATACCCTGTCCTTATAATGTAATGTAATGCAAGATTTTATCATAAGTGCTACTTCTATTTACATGTAAGTTGTAAAAATGCATTTCATGTCTATGTCATATTATATAAATATATAATACTCTACAGTTATACTATATTATAACTTATGGTACGATTAGTTATTGTAAAAAATGTAATTTTTTCATTAAAGGTTTTTTCAAATTCGTAATTCTATTTTATTAACAAAGGGAGAAAGTGCGTGAGTGAGAGAGAAAGCAATGGAGTGTAGAATGCCATCTATGATTGTTTGAAAAATTAAATGTTCGGGGCGCTGGGTAACACATGGGGACAAAGCATATCAAGATCATCAGATCTACGTATGTACGTATGTGACATGTGCGCGCCTGAAGAATAAGCTCTGAGCTTCGCAGTACGTCTTATTTACCGTCTAACCTTCAAACCTTCAAATTAAAGTAGATGTACGCGTGACAGATCTCAGTGCAAGCGAATATTCTTCATTTTTTTTTTGAGTGAAAATTAAATACAAGTTGTGCCAGGCTAATTTTATTTCAAGACCTCAAAGACAACAAACAAAATTATTTGTTGGTTCTGAAAATATTCTAACCTTTATAAAAAAATGCAGGTACAACATAATGCAATTTGATGTATGAGGTCAAGCTATTTCGCTAATTTTAAATTACTTTTCATTTACCAAATTCATATCAACTTTCAGAAAAGTATAATACAGTGAATGGGTATTTGCAAAAATAGCAAGTAACAACCGGTTCTCAGTAGTAACTTGCAGTTCAACAATACTTCACATATCTGAGTTTTGATTATTTGCACAGCTATTGTTATAGTGAGTAGAATTTTTATATGTATACAGATCTAAAATAAGTATCATAAAGTGCTATTATTGAATACAATAGTTAATGTCTATATTTGTTTTTGTATTTATTCAAGCAATATCGTATTAAATTTATTTTATTTTATTGAAATGATACACTCCAAGGTAGATATGGTGAAAAATCTATTTCTAAATCTATTTCTTGAGTGCTATTGTTTCTTTTATGAAATTGTCATAGGGTGAGTGTACTATACCAATATGCGACCATCTAAGAAACTGATGTACCATTTACCGGCCATTTAAGCTATATCTAATTTTAGATTGCTAAATGTAATGAAAATAATTTGATCACTTATTTATTGTATACTAAGACATAATTTAAAAAAGTTAGGCAACTGCTTAAAAGAAAATAAAGTCCTTTTATTCGCGGTTTCTTTATGTTTGGTAAATGGCCTTATTGAAAGCCATAAACGAAGACTGTACCAGTACCCGGCCACTTTTATAACCTTTTTAATCAATAATTTTGCTTTGTTTTATATTAATGCAAATGTTTTAATGCATCAAATAGGTTTAGTACATGTTTATAAAATTGGACGGGTGATGAGTGATGGTCGGTAATTGGCACAGTCGCCCTATTAGGCATACTATATAAGTAGCTTAATTAATAAAGCTATTGTGCGTAGTAAAATGTATTTTACATAATTATATTTTTTGTTTCAGGTTTTCTACTTGTACAGATTTACAATGAGTATTTCTCTGATATAATATATTACAATTTCTTGAAGTCTATGTTATTTTATTATATGTAAATAAACTTTTATATTGCTAAATGATGTACATACATATGTGTGTATTTTATTACTAACGCAAGCTAACCCAAACTAAACCAAGCCAAACCAAGTCCAACCCAACCCAACCAAGCCAAACCAAACCAAACCAAACCAAACCAAACCAAACCAAAACGAACCTAAACGAACCAAACCATACAGACATAAATCAAGCCTAAAGCCAAAAAAATCCAAGCCGAAAAGCAAAATAAACTAAGACAAAACAAAAATAAACTAAAAATTAAAACAAAGTCATTAAATATCAATATTTTTTAGTTCTAATTGTACTATTTAATTGCTGTTTAATAAAATAATTAGTTAGACAGAGAAAGAGACAAGAAGAGATTTTTTTGTATTATTATTTTACAATACATAAATCTATCTGTCCAGAACTTAAATCTAAGTTATTTCATTAATAATTGTCTCAAGCGTACAGAGACTTAAAAACTTGAAATATTAAAGAAATATTGAATTTTAACAATTAGCTTCTTAGAAATAAACGTAAATTTTTTTTTCTACTTTTCATTAATATTTTAGTAGACAATTCCATTATGGGTCGACGTAAACTTACGATCGCAGAAGTAGAGGTTTCTAAGCAAAACAGACGAGTCAAAGAAAGAGAAAATCAACGTAGAAGGCGAGAAATTGCTCGACAAGGAATTACTGATTATCATCGTATTTCAGAGTATAATATAGTTGAAAAAGATTATTTAGGATTAATGAATATTTTATGCAAACACTGCCAAGCCAATCATTTCAAAGATGAGAAAGTTTCAAATAAAGGATTATCATTCAATGACTGCTGTGGTCATGGAACGGTAACGTTGGATCCATTCCCAGATTTTCCACGTGAACTTTTGACTTTATTCAATGGAGAACACAATCAATCATCAATTTTTTTCAATCACATACGAAATTATAATAGTTGTTTATCATTTGCTTCATTTAATGCTAATTTAGTTAATTTTCAATCGCGTCGATCAGCTCCATACTGTTTTAAAATTCAAGGCCAAATCTATTATCAAATAAATACAGCTTTATATCCTAGCGATGGTGAAAATCCGCCGTATGGACAACTTTTTATAATCGATCAAAACGAAGCTATAGATTATCGATTGCAACAAAATCCCCTTATAGATTATGAATTAATGTCAATTTTAGATAATATTATTCGCAATGAGAACAGTTATGCCAAATCTTATGAAATGATGAAAGATGAAATTAGGATACAACAGCTAATAACAGATATGAGAAATGATTCTTCCCCTTCGGAACTTCAATTATTATTTTCATTGAAACCTGGCCAAGATAGTCGTAGATATAATTTTGAACAAGTCAATGAAGTTGCTGCAATATTTTCAACAACTGCTGACGGAGAAATACCTGAATCATACATTACCATAAGAAATAAGAATACAAAAAACTTAGAAATAGTTAGTTCTTTGGATCCTAACGTAGAACCATGGATTTACCCTTTATTTTACCCATATGGTACACGTGGTTGGCATACAAACATGTATCGTGAAAATTCTAATCGTAAAATTACACGTTTAGATTATACTAAATATAAAATAGCTATTAGAGAAGATGAATTTAATCCTATTATACGAGGACGAAGATTACTCCAACAATGGGTTGTAGATAGTTATGTGAAAATTGAAAAACATAGAATTCAATACTGCAAAAATCATCAAAAAGAATTACGAGCTGATACGTACAAAGGATTACATGATCACATAAGTAATAGTGCAAATGATATTAATGGTCACGTAGGCAAGACTATAATTCTTCCTTCATCGTTTACTGGCTCACCTCGGTACATGCAACAATGTTATCAAGATGCAATGGCTATTGTTAATGAAACAGGAAAACCAGATATTTTCCTCACAATGACTTGCAACCCAAATTGGCCAGAAATATCAGAAAATTTGTTGCCAGGTCAACAAGCTGCTGACAGACCAGATTTAGTAGCCAGAGTTTTCGATTTGAAAAAAGACCGATTACTTGATATCGTTGTAAAGAAAGCTTTTTTTGGAAAAGTTTCATCCTACGTGTATGTTATTGAGTTCCAGAAAAGAGGATTACCGCACATGCATTTATTAATTACATTAGAACAAGGATACAAAATGACCACAGCTGACATAGTTGATGAATTCATATCAGCTGAAATACCAATGAATCTAAACGAACCACGTTTATTCGATATCGTTATGAGAAATATGATACATGGACCTTGTGGCAACTGGTGCATAAAGGAGGGAAAATGTTCCAAAAATTTTCCAAAAGACTTTCATCAACATACTACTTTAGATGAAAACGGTTACCCTCATTATCGCAGAACAGATACGGGCATTGTTCACGAATGTCCTAATGGGCATAAAGTAGATAACAGATGGGTAGTTCCATATTGTGCCAAATTGTTATTAATGTTTGACTGTCATATCAACGTTGAAGTTGTTTCAAGTATAAAAGCTGTTAAATATTTGTATAAATATATTTATAAAGGGCACGATGCTGCTACCGTTGTAATTGGACAAGCGGAAAGTGGTAGTACTATTTAGCACGATGAATGTCGCAATTTCATTGAAACGCGCTATGTTAGTCCTGTGGAAGCATGTTACCGTATTTTAAGTAAAACATTGCAAGATAAAAGTCATACCGTTGTAAGATTATCAGTACACCTACCTCATGAACAAATAATAATAATTGCGGAGGATGAAAATGAAGTATCATTATTAGCTACTTTAAATAATTCAAGTAGTATGTTACTTGACTATTTTAAGTTGAATTCAACTAATGAAATAGCGAAGCAATATTATTATTCTGAAATTCCCAAATACTTTACCTATAAAAAAACCAAAGTTAATGGTCAAGTTGTTTCTTCCTGGACAACACGAAAAAAACATTTCAAATGCATTGGTCGAATGTATTCAATAAGTCCAATGCAAATTGAACTTTTTCATTGAAGATTACTATTACTTCATGTAAAAGGTGCAACAAGTTTCAATGATTTGAAATTCGTAGATAATGTATTACATCCTTCTTTCACAGCAGCCTGTCTAGCGTTAGGAATTATTGAAGATGACGATGAATGGAATAAAGCTATGGCAGAAGCTGTGAATTGGATGATGCCTAAACAGCTCAGGCATTTATTTGTTCTTATACTGATTCATTGTCAACCTATTTATTCTGAAAAGTTATGGGAAAAATTTAAAGACTCTATGTCTGAGGATTTTTCACGAAACAATGAATTGTATATCAGTTATCAAATGGCTTATTCCGAAATAAATGATATTTTGATTAAGGAAGGAAAAAGTTTGTCTGATTTTCCAACAATGGATCAAAATGTCATGATTAACGTAGTTGATATTAATAACATTGACGAAAGAAATCGTAGATTAGAAGTTGGTAATGAAAATTATAAAAAATTAAATTCTGAACAAAAAGTAATTGTTGATAACATTATTGAAGCGTCACGTTCAGATAATTATACTGGCACAACTTGCTTTTACATAGATGGTCAAGGAGGATCTGGGAAAACTTTCGTTTACACTACCATTTACAATCTTTTAATGTCAGATAATATCAAATGCTCTACAATGGCATATACTGGTATTGCTGCAACATTGCTGCCCAATGGAAAAACAGTGCACAAATCTTTTGGTTTACCAGTTCCAATGTTTAATGATTCATCTTCAAATATAAAAATACAATCTAATGAAGGTAAGATCTTAAAAAATACTAAAGTATTTATTTGGGATGAAGCACCTATGGCCCCGAGATACGCTTTAGAAATAGTCAATAGAACATTAAAATACATAATGAATAATGATCTACCATTTGGTGGCAAAATTATGGTTTTAGGTGGTGATTTCAGACAACTGCTTCCTATCAAAGTCCATGGTACGCGTAATGAAATATTAAATTTGTCTATAAAAAACTCCGAGTTGTGGCCACTTTTTTCAATATTCTATTTGCAAACTAACATGAGAGCATTACCCCATGAAATTGAATTTACCAAATATTTATTAGATGTCGGTAATGGAAAATTAAATGATGAACATGATAATCTGCAGCTCCCAGAACACTGTATATTACCTCCAAATGAATGCATTGTTCAAAACACTTTTGGAGCCTTAATAAAAAACAAAAAATTTGATGATCTTAGTCATTGTGTTATTCTATCTGCCAGAAATGTTGATGTAGATGATATGAATAATAAAATTACTGATTTATTAGATAAAACTACTGAACGTATTTACACTGGTACAGATAGCACAGAAAACTGTGATAATGGTAACATGGATCATGAAGTTCTTTTACCAGAATATCTTATTTCTTTAAATCCACCTAATTTTCCTCCTCATAAATTACGTTTAAGGAAATTTTGTATAGTAATGTTAATTAGAAATATTAGTCTCAGTGAAGGATTATGTAATAGAACAAGGTTACAGATAATTGATTTTTCCAATCATTTATTAAAATGTAGAATATTAACTGGATCTAAACGCAATAACATAATACTGCTTAATCGAATTACATTATATTGTGATAATCAATATCCATTCATTTTTAAAAGAAAGCAGTTTCCAGTTCGTTTGGCTTTTGCCATGACTATTAATAAAGCTCAAGGACAAACTTTAGCTCAAATTGGTATCGATCTTCGAAGAGATGTTTTTAATCATGGTCAACTATATGTAGCTATGTCTAGAGTGAGATCATGGGATTCATTAAAAATTTATTTAGGAAATCAAAGACAAACTTTGGTTGTAAAAAATTATATTTATACAGAATTATATCAATAAGAAAATTTTATGAAACCAATTTTATTTTACGTATCAGTAAAAGATTTGGGCGCGCGAAGCGCGCTGTGATGTTCTAGTAGATCTATAAAGGCTTAAGTCTTAATCCGATTTCGTCTAGGGGATTAGGCGGATTAGACGGATTAGTCATTCATACTGAAGATAGATCGAGTGTCACAAGTCAAGTGACTTAAGGTGAGTTCAACTCGATTCGAAAGAAGACACTAAAACGAAATCATCAAACGTAAAGGCGAATACACGTATAACTATACGTGTTTAACGGAGCGGCGGTTAGCTCTGCATCGTAGGAGTTTGTGCGTTAATAAATTTCACATTTTTGTAGAATAACCACCTCGTTACACTACGTATAAGGAAACATATAACTTTTTTTTCAACAATTCCATTGATCTCAACATTAACTACATCATTTAAGCTTGGACTTTGTCGGGAACAATGAAAATCATCTTCGAGAAAATATTTTTCGGCTAGTTTTATAGTTTCAACGTCTAAAAGATTTTCAGACAATCGATCTGGTTTATTGTCTAAACCTTCATTTTCTACAAGCTGTCGCGAAACTCTAATCATAGGTTCTTCATTGCCTCTTAAATGAGAAAGAACATAATTCTTTAAAAGACTGCGTATGAATCCTACTATTTCTTGGAAAGTTAGCCGATCATTTTCCAAAGCTAAACTAAAATTTTCATTCTATTCATCGCATATTTTACTCTCATTTAACGCTATTTTGTTCTTTGTAGTGTCATAATGTTTTATAATCTTGCAATCAATTTCTTCATTAAAAGTGTTAAGCAATTGCTTACGTTTTCGATTGAAGTACTTTGGCAACGATGTCGGCTTGACGCTTGAAGGTAGTTTCAATGGCAATAAGAGAAATTCGTTTGCAACAAGAATGTCATCCACTTCTTCATATAATTGGATGTTAGCAATAGAGGTTTAAGAATCTGCAGGCAGTAAACATTGAGAACCCCGCGCTTGGTTGAAAGATTGTAACAACGTTGATTCTTGCATATTGTTTCCAGAGATGGTCTTGAATTTCTTATAGCATTTCCTACACACATAGCCATCTTCAGTAATATCTTTTTTTTAATACCCTTCAGACATCAGTAATCCATTCACAATATCACCGAGTAATTTGAAAGGCCATTTACTTTCCTCATAGATAGTTTTTTTATGAGTGCCGCCGAAATCAGGAGACTTTCTTGATGAAACATATTGTCTTGTTACAAGGGTTTGCAGCTCTATGCAAAATACGTTGATGGCACTGTCCAGCTAAAGTTTTCATTTGGATACCATAATACCATAAATAATGCCAGACTCGGAATACCATTTTCGTGGATTGAGTAAAGTAAGAAAACTCTGAGTGATTAGGGTATCCTAATTTCTCAAGCGTGCTCGGACCCAGATATAAATTTTCGAGACTATAGGTATAATTTAGTTGAGTTGAGAAAATTTTGAGATGTGAGTGAAAAAATTAGCGAGTGTACGCTGCAACACATAAAAATTTATTGCCTTTGCGAGGTCGTATCTCGCGAATGCAGCATAAAGGCACATTTCCGCTTAGTAGAAAGACAACTTATAAGGTCCTGAACAATATATCCAAATATAAAATAAATTAAGAATGATGTTTTGTCAAGGTAGAGACGGCGCCACATGATTTGAGGAGACACTTTCTCGATGGCTCTCTCGCCTGGGGACCTCCGAACAGACTACACCTCCCGGCTCGTGCTATTATTTTCCAACGTCTACCTTCGCTACACGTGCCATCTGATAACCTGCCTCAAGAAAAGTCTCACTAGCATCGTCTCTCATATCTTCCAACCTGCATTGATCGAGTGCTTGCTATCAATAATCCTAAGAAATCCTACTATAACGATCGGCCCTATCTAAGGGACTTAGAACAACGACAAGGGGAGGAGGAGAGGACTATTACCCTAGGAGAGCAGCCAACAATTATCTACGTACAGAATCATAAGATGAGTAGCCACTGCGTAAGCCACGGCTTTGCCGCTTATTCAAAATTAATAACCGTTAGATAAATCGTTACCATGAGCTCATCGTTCAATTATAAGCGAGTATGTCCGTGCGAGAAATTAGATAAAGATTGTATTAATTAGTACATAAAATATTGACATGAGCCATTTATACTGTAATTAACGTTTGATTTTCTCTTTTATGTACCAAGTAAGAATAAATGTTAAAATGGCGCCCAACGGGTATTTTCATTATATGTAATCCACGTGCTCTTATATTTTAATTATTAGCTCTTAGCTAGATTTTAAATTAGACAACAACTAGCCGAGATTCAGCGATTACGCAACACAGTAGCGGAGATTCAACGAGCCCCGGCCGACGCAAATCAACAGAATGCCGAGCTTCAACAGCTACGTGCACAGCTCGTTCAACAACAGCAGACCAACGCGCAACTAAATGCGCAAATACAAGCAGCAGCACAACAAGCAAATGTAGTAGCGCAACCAGCACAACAACAATATCAGAACGCCGATAACGCGCAAGGTATGATCGAAGTATTGAAGGTTATAGGTGGTCTCCAAAATGTAAATATAGAGTACAAATTACCAAAATTCTCTGACGAGAACACATTGAATCCGTTAGAATATTTAGATGATTTAGAACAATTTTTTCGTTTGAGAAATACTAGCAATGATAGAAAACTTTCAGTTGCACAAATCTCTTTAGAAGGTCGAGCAGGATTATGGTTTGACCTTCAACCTCAATTTACAGATTATGACGCGTTTAAAACAGCATTCATTACGGAGTTTTACTCCATTCCAATACAGGTGTAAAAGAAAAGTGAGTGGTCTATTGGGAGGTTTACTTCAAATGACGGTAATTTACAGACGTACTTTTACAAGAAACTAAAAACGGCTACGTATATCCGCCCAGCCTTGATTGACTATGAACGGAACTTCATTATAATACAGCAATTTCCGGATTCCGTTAGGCAAGCACTTACTTCAGTCGATCCTTCCAATACCAACGCAATTGTACGCACTCTCGCTGGGCTAGACGCGGTTCACGCAGAAAAAATGCGTAACTATAAGCGTCGACAAAATTTTGCAAATTATACGCAACAACCTTTTGAGGTTAATCAGATGTCGACACATTCAACGAACTCATACATGTACAGAAGTCGAGGTCGCGGTAGAGGACGCACGCGCTTCGCAAATTCTGACAAAAAAAGTAGTTATAATGGGACTGGGAACTATGGTAGCCACTATCAATCAAACCTCTCCCATACTAATTCTCAAAGGGCGAGCTCTGGCGTAAACTTACCTGACGTTTCAAGACCCCCGCCAATTTTCAACAATAATAACCGTTCAAATAACTCTCAATCTTTAAACAAATAAATAGCATGCTGCAAAGTGGTCCGTCAGCATGTCAGTTGATCACTGACTTTATTCCAGACATGGAAAGGAATATATTGGAAAAATCGGATCATAATGTAAATCACGAGATTAACAAGATTCCACTTGCACCACACGTGAAAATAGACATTCTTAATAAAACTTTCTGGAGTTTGATTGATACGGGCAGTCAGGTTACGGCGGTCTCAGAAATATTTTACGATAGATTAAAAAGTAACAATAATATAGCGGAATTACCCGTATCAAATGTAACAGTTACAACAGCAATAGGGAAGAGAACCACGCCGGTAAAAAAGCAAATCTTACTTGAGTAGGTAGTTACAAAAATTCACATACATTTTTAGTTGTACCCTTCTTGACAAATGATATTATACTCAGAAATGATTGGAATATAAACAATGATATAGTAATTGATTATTTTTTAACAGAGATTAAAATAAAACAAAACAAAATTCCAAAAAGTTTAGTGTTGTTCGAACAAGGTTCGTCGGATAGATTACTTTCAGCAAAGAAAAGTGATGAGACTATAATATATGTAATTAGGATTGATAAGATGGATTTATTGTATAATGATGTATTAATTAATGAAAAAAGTGAAATGAAACAAATTGAAAAAATGAAAGACATAAATTATCAAAATATTGAGTATAAAAATATAAATGTAAATGATCAGACTAAGCAAAATAATAATTGTGATATTATATTAATGAATGAAATGAGAGCGGATCGGGAGGAATCGGAGAAAGATCTGACCGACGAACTACGTTCAATCGCGAATAATCTTGCAACACTGAACGATGTTCAAAAGAAAAAATTTTTAGATTTATTAATAAGGAAAAAGCAGCTGTTTTCTCCAAAGATTGTATGTGCAAAAGGATTTGAGCACAGCATAAAATTAATAAGAAATAATCCCAATATTAGAATGAACTACTCGGTACCGCTTAAGCTTCGCGACAAGGTTCGCACAACGATAAAAAAAAATGTTGGATACGGGGGTAATTGAACGCGCCGTGAGCCCTTATTGTAACCCGCTGAGAGTCGTTATAAAGGATAATAATGATATTCGCCTTTGTCTCGATGCTCGAAAATTAAACGAAAATATCGAAGATGACTGTGAATCACCTCCAGTAATTGGCGAGTTGCTTCAAGATTTCGAAAATGTTTCAGTATATTCAAAAATGGACCTCACAAATTCCTTTTGGCAAATTTTTTTACACTCAGATTCACGCCCATTTACAGCATTTATGTTTGAATCAATAGTCTACCCATGGATCCGCGTACCTTACGGCTTAAAGACTGCTAGTGGTGCATTGATTCGAGCTCTACAATTGGCCGTACAGCATTGCTCCGAGAGATTATAAAAAGCTCTCCGGAAATATATGGACGACCTACTAATTGGGAGTTCGAGTTTCGGCGAGCATCTATTGGTCCTTGAAGAATTATTTGACAAACTCATAGCGTACAATTTCACAATTAATTTAAATAAATGCGAATTCTTCCAAACAACAATAGTATTCTTGGGCTATCAAATATCAATTAAAGGTATTACTCCCGATCCAAACAAATTAGCAAAAATCCAAAACTTCGAACGACCGCGAT